GACAACCTCACGAGATTTACATACAAATAGTAGTGTGCCTCCTTAGCGCAGACATAAAGAGTTGACGAACGAGACTACATGCGCGTTTAGCCTCCTTAGCTCCCGTACACGGATTTTTCTCTAAAATTAAAAAAAAAACGTCAGTAATGTATTATACATATACACATTTGCATTGTCTACGAATAACGCTTTTATAAGCGTCATATTGTTGCAAATCAATGATCAAAAAATGAAATGTACTAGTATTTTCTTACTACTTTGTAATCTTTGCTTGAATGTTTATTGGTTTTTTCTAATTTTCAAGGGAATTGGCTGTTCTAAAGATTTTTCTATATAATGATTTAAAAGACAATTGTTTATAAATGTTTATCGTGTTAATTGCAGAATAGAAAATTCTTGGTAGTTCTTGGCAAAATTAATGATTTTTTTCTTGTAGGAAATAGCATTGACATGGGTAAAAAAAGTCTGTCATGAATTTTTTAACCAAGTGAGGAAAAGAAGTTCATTTTCTAGACGTACTTGTTTGCCATAAGAATTCATATCTCTTGTGTCTTTCTTTTGATTGACTTTATTTTAAAAAATGAAATACATGTATAAAAGAGCATTATACCATTACAGTGTTAAAAGAAAGCAGAGATTTAAAATAAATATGTAACAGCATTATAACAAAAATCTGCAACCATTAGTACATGTTATGGATCTAAAGTCAGCGTAGCGTAGATAAATACATGTAGAATATATATAAATAGAATAAATCATTTTTCCGAATCAATTAAGGCAAATTGTTTCAAGGATATTTCGGAAGCTATCATATATTATTGTTAAAATCCTTGTTCGCAATTCTTTTTCGTGCGGAATTATGGTTTCAGCAACACAAATAGGTCCACAACGTTTACTCGTGTATTCTATTAAGATGTTTTTAAACGTTTATTATGAGATCTTGTTGAGCAAATAGGGAAATCCTTATCGCTAGGAATAGCAAACGCTTTCATCTAATTGAATAGAATAATAACTTCCTGTAAATGAAACTTACTTCATGTACAAGGAACATGAAGAAAAAATATTTCAATCTGCCATTTGATTGAATATGTTTGTTGGTTTGCATGTTGTTTAACGTCCCTCTCGAGATTTTTTCACTCATATGGAGAGGCCACAACTTGCGTCGGATGTTGCAAATTTTGTCTTATGTCCGACACTCAGGACCATTGAGCTCTGAGGGATCTTTTTCGAGTCAGCAACTTCTGCGACACTCTGGACCTCAGTTCATACTGTCTCATCCGAAGAACTGGTCTCTATGTTCCACAGTGGAATTCGAACACCGCAGCATTGTTAAGGCTGAAATAAGGAGGCGGGGCCTAATTTATACGGGAAAAGTTTACTGTGACGTCACACTAAAATATGACTTTTATGTCTTCCACATAATACCAGAAAATGAAATAATTTGCAACTTTAAACAGCATTTGCGTAATAAACAACAATGAAACTTATCAATGCATTTCAAAAAAGGTTTCTAGATAAATCCCATACAGTTGGTTATAAACAAATCACTGATCTCGATGAACTTGTCAATCATGACGTCATTTTTGTAAAAATGACGTATTTCAAGTGCTGTGAAAGGCAGATTGAGGGATTGAGGGATTTTTTAACAATGAAAAACAGAAAATCATAAAACAGAATGTCATTTACAGGTTTTAAATAGGCTATTAATACCAATGTATATCCCTTGTAAGTGCGACTGTTCATAAACTATCGGGAGATTGTATTTGAATAATTTTGTCGTGTTTTTATGTTCAGGATAGGTATAATTTTTATCGAGGGGCCTCATTAAATCGTTCTTTCGCAAGGGCATACACTTTATGAATCTTAACCAATTTTTTTTTAAATATAAATAAAAGATAATTATGTTCCTTAACTTGAAAAGCGCTGCTGCTTTCTTTAAATCGAGAGGGTGAATTTATAAGTACACAAAATATTTGGTAATTAACAAACATATTTCGACATGGGACTATTCACTTGAAAATTTAACGCGAATTCTATTCAAAGCAGCAGCACTTTCCAGAAAGCACAAACTATACAGAAAAAAATTAATAGCTTGAATTTTTCAGTTCAAATAGGGTATGCCCTTGCAATATTGAAATTTGTTAATGACCTACATTCAGTACACGTACTATGCATTCAGCACGTGACTGTCCATCGATGGGACCAAACTTTATACAGTACAGAGTAGGTTATACTAAGCTTTTTTCATAAGTATTTAAGTTCTGTGATAATGAAACCCCTGATTAAAAATAAATTCAGTTTTAAAAACAATTCCTGTTTTATTTCTCATAGTAGGCTTTAACAGCTTTCACCTGAGCTGAAGCCTCAAGTGAGCTTTTCTGATCAAAATTTGTCCTTTGTCTGTCGTCATCGCTGTCGTGGTTGTCGTTAACTTATCATATTTTCATCTTCTTCTCAAGAACCACTGGCCCAATTTCAACCCAACTTGCTACAAAGTATTCTTGGGTAAAGGGAATTCAAGTTTGTTCAAATGAAGGACCACACCATTTTCCAAGGGGAGATTATTATGAATTAGAGTAAAATTAATGGCATTTTTAAAAAATCTTCTTCTCAAGAATCACTGGGTCAGGAAAGATGAAACTGAAGTGGAATCATTTTCAGGTAGTGTAGATTCAAGTTTGTTCAAATCATGAATCCCGGGGGTAGGGTGGGGCCACATAGGTTGTTAAAAGTTTTACATAGGAATAAAGAGGAAAAATCTTTAAAAATCTTCTCAAGACCCACTTGGCCAGGAAAGATGAAACTAATGTGGAATCATCCATAGGATGTGTAGATTCAAGTTTGTTCACATCATGACCCCCGGGGGTAGGGTGGGGCCACAATGGCCGATCAAAGTTTTACATAGGAATATATAGGAAAAATCTTTAAAAATCTTCTTCTCAAGAAACAGTGGGCGAGCAAAGATGAATCTGATGTGGAATCATCCTCAGGTAGTGTAGATTCAAGTTTGTGAAAATCATGACCCCCGGAGGTAGGTTGGGGCCAAAATGGACGATCAAAGTTTTACATAGAAATATATAGGGAACATCTTAAAAATCGCCTTTTCAAGTTCTTTAAAGCCATGATTAGTGATATTTATATGCATCCTCAGGTAGTGTAGATACTAGTTTATTCAAATCATGATTCCCCCCCCCCCGAACCTCAGTAAACTTTTAGTTCTGATCTGATATGTGTTTTTTTCCTAGCCGATGTGCTCAGGTAAGCGCAGTGGCCCCTGGGCCTCTTGTTATTCTGACTCTTACAACCTTAAACATCTTGCGCACTGTAAGAGGACTTTCACTTTTTCAGTTAGTTGCCGACTGTCTACTGAAATATATCAGGATACCAATTTTAGAGATGACTAGGTACCACCTTTTCTGTAGACAGTCAGACACAATCCCGTAAGTTTTAAGTTTTTCCAATCATAATTCGAGTCACAAACACAAAAACGGCACCGTATCAATATTTTTTAATGTGAAAGCCACCGCCACACACAATACCAAGCAAGAAAAAAAATACACAAAGAAGTACACAATATAAATAAATATTGTCTCTCTTTAATACAGGTTACTAATATGCAATGTCTGAGTTTTTACTCAGTGCTTTATTAATATTCTCACCTCTGTGTGTCCATTTTAACGGAAATTTTTAATAATAAAGTCTGCGCAGCATTGTTAAGGCTTGAATAAGGGGGCGGGGCCTAATTTATCCTAATTTATACGGGAAAACTGTGACGTCGCACAAAAATATGACTTTTATGTTTTTCTCATAATATCTGAAAATGAAATAATTTGCAACTTTTAACTGTATTAGCATAATAAAAAACAATATAACTTATCAATGCATTAAAAAAAGTTGCTAGTTAAATCCCATGTAGCTGGTTATAAACAAAGCACTGATCGCGATGAACTTGTAAACATGACGTCATATTGGTAAAAATGACGCATTTCATGTGCTGTGAGAGGCAGATTGAGGAATTTTTTAACAATGCAAAATGCGCTTTATTATTAACCGGAATATTATTTACAGGTTTTAGATAGTCGATTAATACCAATGTATATCCTTTATTTAGTGCAATTATTAATAAATTACCAAGAGAATGTATTTTATTAATTATGTCGTGTTTTTATGTACAGGTTACTTATATTTTACATCGAGATGCCTCATAAAATTGTACTTTCGCAAGGACATACACTGCATAGATCGGATCCATTTTTTGAATATAGATAAAGAATATTTTCCTTAACTTGAAAAGTGCTGCTGCTTTCTTTAAATAGATGGCTTGATTTTATAAGTACGCAAAATATCTGGTAAAAATCAATTATATTTCGACATTGACATATTTATTTGAAACTTTAACTATTAAAACGCGAATTCTATTCAAAGCAGCAGCACTTTTCAGAAACTACAAAGTATGCAGAAACAACTGATTGTTTGAATTTTTAATTTCAACTAGGGTATGCCCTTGCGATATTGAAATTTGTTAATGATCTACATTCAGTACACGAACTCTGCATTCATCACGTGACTGTCCATCGATGGGACTAAACTTCATACAGTACAGAGTGGGTTATATTATGCTATTTCCATAAGTATTAAAGTTCTGTGATAATAAAACAGATTAATTTAAATAAATTCAATTTTAAAAAATCCCCCTTTTTGCACGTCTATTTTCCATGATTTCTCGTAGTAGGCCTTAACAGTGCTGCGTGGTGTTCTTACTGTGTGATGTTCAGGGCCAAGGCAAAGGTAGGTTAACATATTATTTTATCATAAGTATAAAATAAGACAAAATTCCTTTGATAATTAAATAATGATTACATGTACGATAATAAAGCCTTTTAAATGAATTAGTGTATATAAGTTGGAATAGAGGGACTTGCGTCATCGAAGTGCAACAGACTTGTGATTATCAAGCTTTTTAGATTTTATTAATTATATAGTTTTTAGAATTCCAGATGAACAGGAAATTAAATTGTTTGTATAAGGATCTCGTAATCATTTGAAGTTATTATGGTTTTGAATTTAGCTTTCAATATTTAAAGTGCAGACAGGGCAATATGTGTAAAGCATTACATGTATTTAGGAGATATTATGTATTATTGCGATTTATTTGTTTGGTTGAAGTTGTTTGTTTGAAAAACACACCCAAAAGTAAGTACTTAGAAAGTGATTTTAATGTACCTATGTTCGTTATCTCCATATCCTTCTTTCTTCCAGAACAATCCATGCCAAAAAAATGTCTAATTGTCTAATGATTAGATACTGAACTGTAAGTATACATACACCTGACAATATAGCCTAGAACGCATAAAAAGAAATTATGTGCCATTTCATGAAAGTATGCATATAGCATATATTCTAATGAATTTACAAATTCATTTTAGGTATGGATTGCACAGTAGGATATATAGGTGGAAGATGCAATATACCCTGTCACTACCCAAGCTACGGAAAATTATGTCAATCACTGTGCTATTGTAAGAAGGAATACTGTAATCACAAGAACGGGTGTCTAGGTTTGCTATAATTAAAATAAATGTAGCCTATATTTTATAACAAAGAATTTATATAGCGAGGGAGGAGAAAGGGGTTTCATAGTTAGTATTCTTAAGGATCGTGTAATGCACTGGTTTTATGCTGATGGAATTCAAATCTTCCCTAAGAATGTGAAAGGTCGCTCAAAATGTTGACCATAGAACGTTTTCCTTCTCTCACAATGCATAAATGACCACCGGTGCCTTGCCTTGATAACACGTGATATGTTAGTGAAAGAATATTAATGAAAATAATTTACACTGTTTACGATTTTCTTAATACATTTTTATAGATAAAGGTTCCCAGGGTCAATGAGGTCATTTGTACGGAGAAAATATTTTTTTCCACAGATTGTCCACCTGGTTCCAGGGGACAAGGTTGTGAACATAACTGCACATATCCAAAATATGGCATATATTGCCGGTCAACATGTGACTGCTTGGAAGAAGAGTGTGATTATATCACTGGTTGTGAAGGTGAGGAAAGAAATTGTAAGATTATATATATAAAGATGATTTTAAAAATTTACATCATTCTTTTCTCGTTTTTCGACAAGAAAAGAAAAACAGAAAAAGAAATGCAGAATTTTTATACTTGCAAATATTATAACAAAATCTCTTTAACTGGTTGTGAAAGATTAATTGAGTTATTACATTAAAAGAATTAATATACATTGAGAAGAAATACTTTGTTAATAGCAGGTAGGACAAATGAATGTACCTCGACAAAAGGCAGAAAAAGTTCGAACACCATGCTTTCTAGTCCTATCGTACTTGCTTTTATTGCAGTTATTCAGTTTCTTTTACACAGTATATGTATATTTTTCAATATTCTACAAACCGCAGCCGCTGTACATAACATATTTTTGATATTTCATTTATTTTAGGTTCATCTCTACTTTAATTTGATTTCTATGCATAAATTGTTCCTCGAACAATTTATAAAATCGAATAATGTGCACCAAGGATAGTACCTTATTTACATGTATTTTCACTGTATTTATGATTATTTAAAAGGATTTAAAATGTGTTGGCATTCAAAACAGCTAAGTGTGAAAGAGGACATTCATGAATAAGCTAATAAAACAATTAAAAAGAAATATATTGAAGTGTACATGTAACATACACTAAAAATTCTGATGATAAAAATTGGTACATTTTTGATCTTATGTGACATTTTGTTAAAATACATTTAAAGCATTTAAAAAAGAAATATTTTGAAAAAAAGTGTTCAATTGATATTTTCTGTAGATGTTTCATAAAAAGAGGTAATTGTTGATTTAAATTAAAATCGTAGGTATAAATCTGTTTGTTAACAAGAATTTACAAATTCTTAAAACAGGAAAATGTCATCAAAATTTCAAATACGTGGCGTCCATAAATTACATTTTCCTGAAAGAACCGTATATGAATGACGGTGTCAAAGAGTTTACACGATAACTTTTTAATCATAAAGACTGAAACGGACAGGTTTTTATTACAGCTTTATGCTGATTCATATGAATTCTTCTTGAAATGAGATGAGTATGTTTTTAATGATTGAAAAATAAAAAAAATATTTTTCCTTCAAACCTACTTTAAGTCGAGTTGATTTTTAACTGCTACAGGAAGACAGTAATGCATGCAGTCAGCATATTTTAAATGTACAGGATTGGTTAAAGGAGGGATTCTTTACATAAATATCCTCATTTTTTATATTTAAAAAACCAATTGAATGTGTTGATAGCAATTAAATCAAATCTTGTAGATTTATTTACGAGCAAGGACAGGTCAAGATCATTATCATTTTCCTTTTTTCCATAAAGAATAAAAAATCACGTTGATCATGTGAGGCCTTCTTCTACTTCAAAAGTTTAAATCTTTATTCACCGAGAACATATTAGAAGATCCAAGCTGAATTATCTTTATTGATTATTTTAAATTAAGAAAATATTCAATATTATCCTATGCTTCGTATATTTATGCACTTCGTCGTATTGATGTAATCATGGTCACATTGTATTCATGGAAACTATGATATGTTAGAATTAAAATCAAAACTGAGTCCAGGAACTTTAAAATACAGAGTGGTCTTTCTAATGAAGTTATTCACGAGATAAGTTTGTTTTACTTTTTGATTATTTTATGATATCATTTCTTCCTGCATGAAGATATGAAGAGGAGGAATAACTTTTTTAACCCTATAATACATAATAATACATTTTAATGTTCAAATGTACAAAAAGACGCTTTACTAGAAATTCCCCATTTAAACAACCCTTTTTGTCGATTATGAGTAACAGCTATTTAGTAATTAGCTAAATTTAATGTTGCAATTTATAATTAACGCAGTATTTTTCAGTATCGGTCGTATTATTCAACGCACAATGCTTATCCGATTCAATAATTCGACCACATGAATGTCGTATATTTCGAGGGATTTGGGACAAGGGATCACAAATGAAGATAGTGGGAGTTAAAAGCAGTATTACTGTCAATGTACCAGTACACAATTCTTCTAGTCTTCTGAATTGGCAAACTATTGCAATGTATTTTATATAGTCGCTTTAAATTGCTTTAAATATAGATTTTGTGTGTTTTTTATTTTGTAGAATAACATGGATAACTAGTCGAACTAAAGACTGTTTTGTATAATCTATACACTTCATTAAAGTATTTTGCACTCGTGCAAAGTATCTCATCCCATGTAAAAGTATTTTAATTATTTATTTTATAAATAATTAATGAACTGGTGAATTAAAATCATAAAAAGTTTTTTTTCATTTAATGTCGTATATGTACATGTATGATTGGATTAATGCAGTTAATTAGCTGTTCAAAAAATAGAAAAATAATTAACTTACTAATAATGTTAATAACTCAACCTTTTATGTCTTAAAGCGGAAAGTAATATTCTTAATTTCTTTTTAAAATCTAAAATCGACTTATCCACATTTGTCTTTGCGGAAGCCTTTACCGGGACAATACCAATGGATAATGTTTCTACAAACTTGAAATCGCCGACAAAGAATAAAGGTATACCTGAAGCAAGGATTCATTATAGAGACGCAGTTTTAAATCGTAGCGGTAAAAATTTCAAATTATTACGATACTCTAAAATTATCAATAGACGTTGTGTCACTCTAGTTGTTATTTTTATTGTGTGACGTCACTCGTTCCCCTTCGGAAGTTCTCGGATGTCGCGACTACAGGAACTACGGCTAACAGTTTCACGCGGTCGTCTGCTAGGAAGCAGATTCAGCAGATTCGGGACTAGAGAATGGTGGACGGTACTGGACGTACTTCGTAATTCGATTAGCCGGGGAAGTGCAGATATATGATCTCACCATGTGTAACGAACGATGTCTGCGAGGCTGACTTAATCATGTTGGAGTACTTACAGTTGAACAGCGGAGTAAATTGTGTTGGTATTGTGTATTTGTTTGTTACTGTGTTTGTTGTCTATATGTTATTATTTCTTTATCATTAAAACTTGTTAAAGTTTTTATTCATTTTGGCTATTGTGTTTCTTGTAAGTGTGTCACAGCGAGCTATTGATAGATTTGTATATTCGGCGCACGTTACGAAATATAAATATTTTCTTGCAAATTGCCAAGACAACAAAATTGTTGAGTGAAACAATACTTTCATGGAAAACATACACACTTTGACAAAAAACATGGAAAAAAGGTGGTAATTTTTGTGCCAAGAAAACACTGAATGTGGAACCTGAAAATGTTTCAACTCTCTGTATCGTCGGGCTTTTGTAATTGCTGTAATACTAGTATTCTTATTTCTGTACATAAATATTGTTTTATGTCATAACAGGGCTGTTCTAATATGTTCATATATCAAATATGATATGTGCAAAAGCGTCATGCATGAAATTTAGTGTTATATACTATATATTTTAATTTTTTCGCGGTTTACCTTGAAATTACCCATCCTTTTGCTATCAACAGCATGTTGCTATACCATGATTAAAATCGTTTTATTGGAAATAAAGACCACTGACACTTTATCTTCCAAGTTTTCCCTCATCATTATGAGCGATATCAGTATTGCAAACGCAATCAATTTTCTTCAATAACCGAATACGGATGATATTGATGAAGGCCGAAAGATTATAAATAAAGTTTACAGGCACATGATATAAATTCGAGTAACTATGCAAGATAAAAGACAAATAAACAACGCTTTAACTGGCACTTGTACAGTATTCGAGAGGGAATATAAGGGAATATGTACAAAATTGAAATATTTTTGACCAACGGATTTACTTTTGCTTATAACATAATTGTTCATCATATGGAATAAGTGTTAAACAGCAAACGGATCTTTTATTCCGTAATTTTCTTTCCATGATGCCCATTATGTTTAAGAACAAAAATACTAAGTCTGATCACATAGAATGTCTAAAGTCAAAAATCTAAATCTTTGTCAATTTAATCAATTTGTGCAGATCCGGAGGGAACAAAGAAACATATACATGAAATACTGTATTTGACGAAGAAAAGGATTGATATATACTGGTAGAGTACAAAAGTGATCAAGACTATTCATTGACAATATGCGTAAAAGGGCAATTCTGCTTAACAGGTACAAACTAATTCCAATGTAATTTTCAGCTACATGACAGCTGACAAACTTGCGCATGAAATGTATGGAGATAACAAACAGTGTTTACGAGTAAGTCCCAATTTCTCTGCATCATTTTTGTAATGTTTGATAAAACATTGAGATTGAATATTTCTCAATACAACATTGGAGCTGAGGAAACACGGATTTATGAAAACATCAGAGGTGGGATCAGATGCCATGGAGGAGTAAGCATCCCCTGCCAGCTGATCATGTCTCTCGTGTGCTCCTTATTATGATCAGGAAACAAAGATAAAATATGTGTATTAGTCTTATAAAAAGATTGATAAACATCTATCAGTATTTGACATAAATATTGTCGTTATTTGGAAAGTTCCTGGCATGTGGCATCAGACTTCAGAGACTGTTTTGAAAGCGATAAGAAATTATGAATTTCAGCATTTTACAGTTCTTTTTTTAAATTCTGTTTGCAAAACGTCATACAAAGTGCTAATTCAATTAGAGATGTGTTGACAGGGGATAACAGTTTGACCAAAAGTGAAGGCTATCCCCTGCAAACGTGGTTTATTCATTTTTTAATCGTGTAAAATATTGATTAAAAATTATTTTACTAGTCTTTTGCTGATCTTTTTTAAGCAATTTATCTTCAAATGAAATATTTTTATTGCAGATAAAGCAGTCAAAATGCAGTTCGTCGATAGAAACTTGCAAAAGAAGTACAAACACTATGCTTTCTAGTGTATTCAATGTTTGTTTTTTTTATTCTCTGCAAAACTCCTTTGTAATTCACCTCAAGATCTTGATATGGGATTAAGAGAAATATGATTACTTTATATAAAATTCTTGTGTTAAACAATTTGAACTTGAAAAGTGGATATCAAGGACTTTTAATTTCTATT